AAAATTTTAAACTCAAGGAACGTGCATCAAAGATTCAATAATAAGTCATAAACACACTCCTAAAGGTCTATCTTAATCAAACAAGTTTAATTGAAAAGCAATAGATCAAGAAAAACAAGTTTTATGTGGTTTGGGAATTTCATCGAGCACTTGGTGGGTGATATTCAAACTCCACAAATCCATAATGATAAAGCCTACCAAGGCCTCCAAACACAAATACACAATCATAAGCATACATAAGTAGATAGTCTCCAACAATAATGCTCAACACAACAAGAATTCCAACCATTCCTTAAGCAACTAGATAGTCTCCAACAATAATGCATATAATACTTGACATTCAAGGGATTCATTCACTAACTAAAATTATAGAAACTATCTAAAGAAAGATTAAGCACGCATGTTTTATTTTGAAAAAGGTAAAAAAATGCAAACCGATTGTCGCGGTACCTCCCAACTAGTGCGTCTTTTAAGTCTTATTGCCGGACGATTATTTCCAAGTATTCGGTCCAAATTAGAACCTCCTTGAAATTGAGCTTCTCGTCGGTGAGGTGGTGTCTCAATGTAACACCCTAACCCGTCCGGGTACTACTTTTACTAAAATGCCCTTGATAAAAAAATACTCAAATCTTAAATTGCAGAGGGAAAAATTTTCATAAATAAAATACTGAAACACACACTTGTAGCTCAGAGTAAAGCCCTAACACGTGGGCAAATTAAACTCAAACTTTAAATCTCAATCTGATCTCCAGTCTATACTCATAATCATAAGTGTAAATAACTGATAATCTCTATCGTTGTTGTTACTGAAAATCTTAACTAGGCATCCTCTGTGATGCTTGCACCGCCCTCCTCTAGCTGGTTGCCCTCGAACTTGCTGCCCACTAATTGCTCCTCTAGTTCCTCTAGCTCTTCAAACTGGTGAGTGAGATGGGGTCAGTCTACGCCCTTACGTTTAAAACTTTCTAATAATTTTGCACTTCTTCTCAAACACTTACTCTAACTGAGGGAAGTTGTTTGTACTTCCATTCTTAAAAATCTTAACTCTTAAAACTGTATGGGAGTAACTGTTACTCTCCACTCTTAAAGCTTAAATATCAACTTAAATACTTGACTGACACTGGGATCCCTCACTAGCTAGTCCGGTTGCCAACTCATACGTATGAGAAGCCCTCCAGGCTTTCCTTAAACTTAGTTAGGGAAGTCGTAACGATTCATCCCCCTAACAACGTAAACTTATCGTGGTGGCCCTTCACCACAATTCTCAAGGGCATAACTGCTGCTCATCTTAAAAGTCTCTAGAGCATAACTGTTGCTCATCTTAAAAGTCTTAAGAGCATAACTGCTGCTCTATCTCAAAATGTCTCAAAAGGCAACGGACTGGCGCTAGTAACTAAAAACGCTTAAAACGACTTCACTTTCTTGAAGGTGAGTTACTTCTTAAAAAGAACTTGTTTCTTAACTTCAACAATAACTTATAAAATTAAAGCTTAAATTGAAATAAGAACTCATGCACATTCACATCAAGCATAGCATAAACAAAATCACATATCATCAACCATAAGCACAATCAAACAACGACATTCACTTCATCAAAATACTCAAGACTTGAAACTCTTGAAAGAACACGTAAGGCGTAGAATTTACCCCCTTTACACTCACCTTACTTCTATCGGAACTGGTTCTGATTTTGCTCCAACAATTTCATACTCGCTTCGAAAACAATATTACACAATGGACCAGCTTGCTTAACAATGGACCAGCTTGCTTAACAATGGACCAGCGCTCTTGAAAGAACACGTAAAGCGTAGAATTTACCCCCTTTGCTGTAACGATTACATACTCGCTTCCAAAACAATATTACACTTCTACTTGCTTGAATACAATGGACCAGCTTGCTTAAACAGTGGACCAGCTTCCTTCGGTGGGGATGGTAATAACAATGGACCAGCTTGCCTTGCCGATATGGGCTAGCAGCAGACGTAGTAATGAGGGCTCCCTAACAACGAGAGCTCTCTGAGATCTAGCTGTTTCAGGAGCTTGCTTGAGCACACAGCTCTCGTAATAGGCAGAGTAATCTTTGCCCTTGGTTTTGTCCAGGGAAGCGAGAGTAATAATGGCGTCGCTTCGGCTCGGCGCTTTGGTTTTGAAATTGCCCTCGAGGTTGGTTTTGTCCGGACAAGGGAGAATGGTAATGCGCCGCCTTCACCTCGCCGCTTTTGCTTTTGGAATTCCCCTCGAGGTTGCTTAAGCACACAGCTCTCGTAGTAGGGAGAGGGCGCCTCTTTGCTTTAGCATCCCATGCCCGGAGACTTGCCCTTCCTAGAGAATTAGAAAGGCTATTTTATTAGGGTTTAGGTTGGTGCCAAGTAGAGTCTAGGGTTTAATTAGTTTAAGAGTATTTTAGGAATCTCGCAATCACGTATGAGTTTAGTCCGAAACTCAATTAGTGTCCGTGAGTTTCTCATTTGATGTCGAAATTCGACACCGCTTGAACCGATAGTTCATAATTTTAGTCCTCCTCAACATTACGGTGAAATTTGACAAATTTGGACCAAGGGCATAATCGTCATTTTGGCATACAAAAAGATGGGGTGTAACACTCAAGTCCCGAGCATTTGCCTTGCCTTGGCAAAGAGCTGAAAATGGGTTCTTCTCCAATGTGCATCGAGGTCTGGTGGAAAACTTTGATATTACTTGTAACTTGTTGAACCTTCATCCACAACGATATCGTCCTCATCATGGGCACCATTTGCTTCTTCAACCTCCCTTCTCTTTTCTTCAATTCGTTCCACCACTTGGGAGCGTTCAAGATCTTCCTCTTTTTTAATGCTTATTTCCTCTTCCACATACTTCCTTCTCGCCTCTTCAACCTCATTTCCTTTTTCTACAATTGGTAGGAGATGATTGTGAATAAGTCGTGCACATGCTTGCTCGACAATCTCTCCAAGTCTCTCCATTTTTTGGAGGAACTCCTCAGTTGATCATAGAAAAGATGAGTCACTAGGAGTGGTGGCTGAGGATTCTACCTCGGAGCTCGCTCCTTGGCTTCGGTGTTAGAAGGAAATATTCTTGGAATGAGGAAGTCTCTTCATATCTCCATTGATATGGTTCTTTTTCTTGGGAGGGGGTTGGTAAAAGAATCTGAACCCTTGACTTCCACCATCTTAATTGTTCCATGAAGCTTCGAGATAACCATCTTCGGGTATTGATGAATACTCCCACACTTTGGTGAAGTCATAAGGATCCATGATTCAAAAGCTTCTACACAAACAAAAAATCTAAAAGGAAAATCAAACACACACAAACCACCCTTCGGGGAGAAGAATGGGTGAAAAACTAAGCACAAAAAGAAAAAAACGCGAAAATAACAAAAACACAAACAAGAACACAAAATAAAACAAACAATAAAAACAAGATAAAGGCTAACTAACAACTTAATGGTTTTCTACTACTTACCAAGGTTCCCGACAACAGCGCCAAAAAGCTTGATCGGTTCAATCCGTGCATATTATTGTCAATGGTTAGCATGTGTCCACAACTACTCCATAAAGAAGGGAAGAAGAGACAAAGAAGACTTGGGGTGAGGAAGATGCTCCCTCTCCTCAAGCTCCTTCTCCTTCTTCTGCTTCCTTCTTCTTCCTTGAGCTTTTCTCTCTTCTCTCTCTCTCTAAAAACAGAAATTTCCCTCAAAATCAGCTCATCTAAAAGGGGTAAGAGTTCTTCTATTTATAGGCAATTTAGGGACGAAGAAGTTCGCGGCCAGAAGAATAGAGATTGCGGTCGTGACCGTCAGAAGTGAGGCCGCGATCTTCAAACGTCGTCGTCCTAGCCTTCACAAATGAGGAGATTGCGGGTAGACTTCGTTGTCGCGGTCCCGATCTTCCTCACGGTCAAATAATGTTGTGGTGGTGATTCTACTGGGAAAACTCTATGTTTCTCCCTGGCTTCCTCCTTGCGAAGTTCGAACCCTAAGCCCTCCAATTCGCGGCAGCGATCTTGGGCTTACAGGGTACAATCTTCAGCTTGAGTTCGTGGTCTATGTTCCCGGCCATGATCTTGAACTTCCAGGCCACAATCTTCAGCTTCCTACCCCCTTGCTACACTTGTGACCTTGTTTTGTACCTAATTCACATATATCGTCTAATACACCCTAAAATTACATCGAATTCACATAGGAATGAAATAGGGATGCAATCGACGATGTTCAAGCAATTATGCACATGAATTGACATGAAATAAACCTTGATATGAGGGTTAAATAACACTAACTTAAGTGTTATCAAAACTCAATAATAACAAGATAGACTACTCATACAATCATTCAATCATGGCTTGTGTGCATCAAAATCTAAGTGAAGGGGAACTATTTCATATAGAAGCGAAAGAATACATTAAAAACACTCCAAATCTTCATGTATAGGCTTGATTTCTAGCTCCAAAAGCGATGGCAACCTTCTATTTTTCTCCAAAATCACTGTTAGATCGCTATGCCTCTCTTTGTAAAGGCCATTGGGTGTTTCTGACCAAAACCTCATCTCTCACCTTCACAATTTGCAAAACAACCTTTTATACCCGAGTGCAGAGCACAAATCATGATCATGAGGGTCGTGGCTCAAGTTGTTACCTACCCAAAACTTTCCTATTTCATTTATCGTCAGGTGACATGTCATGGTTTCTGTGCAAAGTCACGGCCATGACCATAACTTTTGAAGTCGAGGGCGTGACTTGTGTTTTCCTCCCGTCTCTTTTTAACTCATTGCCATTGACCGTGACATTGGACAGCCTGGCCGTGACATAAGATTTCCTACTACCTTTTGCCATGTTCTTGCCTCCAAACGTTCTGATACACGTCCCTAGGCCCCACACTTGTACTAGAACCTGAAATATGACAAAAGAAGCAAAATCTTGCGTAAAATAGGTCAAGGAACGAGTTTTACCAAGTCAAACGATCGATAAATTAGTATATAAACATGTATTTGTTGATATCAAAACCCATAGTTAATTCTAGGCACTTAGTGGGTATTTTCAAACCATTTTGCTCAAAGCATCCTTCTGAAGGAATCCTTACCTCGAATCACTTGTGGGGTCAAATCCATTGCTAGGAAAAATATATGCTTCCTGTTTTTAATAAAGACTTACGACCATCGACGGCTAGTGATTGGGCGTCATACCTCTTGGTTAAATCCTCATCATCATGGATCCGAATTTCACCAGCAAGACCACCACTATCTTTTGGTGTTCAGCCTGAACGCATATCAAATACAGATTTTGTCGTCGCCGACATCCCAGAGCTCAACCACATTGCTCATGACTTAGGCCTCTTGTCGATAACACCTTCAGTCCAATAGTGCTCTTGCTTTCTTAGGCGAGACACTGCAGAGTAGACATAATTTCGGGCGCTTAGGCGGTGAAAAGTTATTTTTCATTGATTATGACAATTGATTGTGGAAAATCTCTTAATCAATGACATTGACTATGAAAATTAATCACTAATATACTCATTTGAAAAATAAATATAGAGGAGAGCTCCATTTTTCTCGAAACTAGGAAAATCTTACAGTGACGAAACCTTAGGGTTTTAATTTACGATGGCGGCGAGAGGGCCGCCGGTCATATCGGGGGTGAGTCACAAACCTCCGAATGGATGGAGTGGAGCCCGAAAACCATTGGAGGGATCTTCTAACCTGGACGGAAAGAGCACATGGGAGATCGTTCAACCTAAGAAGAAGGCTCTTGCCCTTGATTTTTATGTTGACGTAGATAATGTTGATATTGGGGACGTGATGGCGGGGGAGATGGAAACTGACAAAGCTAGTTCGATGACCGCCTCTGCATGGCAAGGAGGACAGGGTCGTCGATTTAACGAAATCCTTCAACAAGACAATTGGTATGTAGTCGCGTCTGATTCGAAAGATGTATCTCAAGCTGAAAAGGAAGAAGATGATGTGATGGATGAGGAAACATATGACCCTAAGTGCTCGGCCATTATGTTTTCGGCAGTGGAGAAGATCCATTGGCGAAGAGAGTGGTTATCAGCTATAGTGGTAAAGGGATTGGGGAGAAGAGTATCGTATATTCCGCTAGCTCGACGTTTGAATTTGCTCTGGGCTAGGAATGAGGAACTTCAAATATCGAATACGAGGAATGGCTATTTTCTGGTCAGATTCAGCACCCAGAAAGACTATGATCATGCAACTGTGGGGGGTCGTGACTCCTATGAGAGATGTACCTCACGGTGCACCAGTGGTTCAAAGGCTTTAATCCATGGAAAACAATTATCACATCGATAATGTTATGGGACCAACTACCAGAGCTTCCGTGAGTTTATCAATAAGGAAGAAGTGATGAGAATTGCAAAGCGAATGGGTAAACCAATCCAAGTACATCGAGCCAGAGAGCTTCGTGCTAGAGGGAAATATACATCAGTGTGTGTTGAAGTGGATCTCACCCAACAGATCTTATCCCAATAGAAAATATAAGGAGTGACATACCTAATACAATATGAGGGTCTAGAACATATTTTCACAAATTGTGCACATATGGTTAACTACGGGTAGATGCTGGTGTAGGCTTATGAACCCGGCCATGGAAACATAGGATAAACCACAAGAAGAGGTCAAATTGGTAAATGATCTTACAAAAGGGCAGATGTATGGGGAATGGATGGTGGTAAAAAAGAAGGATCGATGTAATGGACGACGCGAGGGTAATGGAAAAAACTTGGGGAGGGTCGAAATCAGCCCAACCGTTTCCAAGTAATATAAGATGAGAATGACGAGGGAGGCAAGAAGGTTGAGTCAAACCAAGGATAGAGCGGCATTCGGCTGAGACTCTACAAGATGTAAGTGAAGGAACACATAATAATTTTCATGCTGAAATGCATGTGAAACCGAAACAATCTCAAGACCCCATTATGACTAAGGATCGCACTGAGCAAAGGCATGTGAAGCAGTGTATAGCCACGAAAGGAAACTAAAAAGATACACAAGGTAATCAAAGGGGGCAAACTGGGAGCACGGGGACGGTTACGAACAAACAGCAACATATGTGCGGGGAAACAATCCCCTTCGGTAGTTAAATGAGGATCCTTAGCTATAACTGTCGTTGTTTGAGAAACATACGTGCAATTCGAGCTTTGAGGTTGCTATTGTTACAAGCTTCCCCGTAGGTTGTTTTTTTTATAAAAACAAAGCAGATGTGTGACAAGAATGAAGAAATAATACAGAATCTAGGCTTCCTCGTAGGAGCATGTGATGTCTCTCATGGTGGTCGGACCTGTGGTATTAGCATATATGGTGTGTAGAGGAAGTGACTATTACAGTCATATCTGATTTCACTAATCGTTTTGACGCTAAGGTGGAGCAATTGCAAGACGTGACCTGGCAATTTTCGGGACTGCGGATGTTCATAGGGAAGGGACAAGCACCAAGCGTGGGCTTTGTTACGAGCTCTTGTGAGGCGATGGAGTGGACTTTTGAATTGTGGGGTGGGGGGGGAGATTTCAACCAAATTATATTGGACTACGTTTGCATACTGTCTCATAGAGATTGGGCTGGAGGACCTGGGTTTCCAAGGGTATCCATTTAAATGGGAGAATCGGCGAATGGTGGGTGGCTATATTGAGGAAAGATTGGACCGTTTTGTAGCAAATGGGGAGTGGAGAAAATTTTGGCCAAATGCAAGAATATCTCACCTGGATAGTAATCGCTCGGACCATCGACCAATTTTCTGTGAGATGAAGAGAGGAAGACAAGGAAGTGAAATGGGGATGCTCTTTTCATTCTCAACCACATTGGGTTAAACATTCGGAGTGGACAGATACAGTAGCAGGAGCATGGTCCTCGGCTGAAGGGAATATCTTCAAAAAAATTTCATAGGTCCAATCGCAGCCGGATGGATGGAGTAGAGTACCTTTCCCCAATTTTCGGAAACAGAATGAGAGGATAAGAAAGGTGATGAAGGCGCTTGAATGGAGAGAGCCAACTAATGAAGTCCTCAACCAGCGGGCTATACCACGGAAAGAATTAGAAGAGGTGGAAAATTATGAAGAGATCTTTTGGAAGCAACGTTCAACGGAGGAATGGCTAGAGAAGGAGATAAAAATACCATTTTTCTTAAAAAGCATCAGCTAGAAGGAAAAGAAACACAATTAAGAAACTGAAAGATGACTCAGAACGATGATGGAAGGGCAACAATTAAGTCTCATAGTGTATTGGAGTACTTTGGTCAACTTTTTAAAGCTAGGAACCGCCCTCTTCAGACCCCGGTTTTGGATTCTGTGAATGGTCAAGTAGGAGAGGAGGAAAATGTGGAGCTTGTGAGACCTGTCACTCGAGAGGAAATCTTTGCAATGTTCTGACAGATGGACGAAAGGAAAGCGTCGGGGTCATATGGGCTTTGGGTTCTCTTTTTTACGAAGTTCTAGCACATTCTCGAAGATGATATGATGGAACTGGATACCTCGATATTCAAAACTGGAATAATGCCCGAGCCACTTAATCACACATTAATCGATCTAATCCCCAAGGTTAAAGACCCAAAGATGTCGAAGGAGTTTCATCCCATTGCTCTATACAACTCCTTGTATAAGATACTTTCAAAGGTGATGGCTAATCGACTAGAGGGCCTACTTGAAAATATAATTTCCATGGAGAAATCAGCAGAAACTAGATGAAATGAGATGGAGATCTAGTTTGATAGGCTTCCGATGAGTATACTTGAATAGCTAAAGCTTGATGATGTAGCCATGGCAGTTAATTAATAATGATGAGTGCAGATTTTCGTAAAAAAATCAATAATATACTCACCATTATTATAGGTATTTTTGTGATTTTATTGTCAAAGTCATGTGTATTGATTTTGTTTTTCACAATCGGGGTATTATAGTAATTGTAAAGTACTATTTAATTTAGCCCTATTTGTTGTTGTCCATCCATTGGTGAATTTGATGGTGTAAATTTGAGTGAATCACCAAGCACGCATCTACAATGATTGTTATGAATTGTGATTAGATCATAGCCTTTCTTCAAGCATGCTCTGTCTTGTGGAAGCGGTCACTTGACTACCCTCGGGAAGATGTGGGTCTTCGTCAGGAATGATTTTTAGCAAATGATTTATAAACACTTGTTTCCAATTCATTGTGACTAGAATCCCAATTTCCCACTATTCTCGGTAGTTCTATCGCTCACCTGTACAATGGTGTTTGTCTGGTCTTCAGTGATCGGCTTTTTCATCTTCTTCTCAAACAAATGTCATTGGTTGTTCAAGGGCTCTTTAATGTGTTTGGTTATCAGTTCCAATTGACTATTTATTACCTCAGTTGTGAGTTTATAAATCTCCCGATAATAGGGCTTTAAAAGTATTAACTCGAGCATTAAACGAACTAATTACTTTATTGGATTAAGTTGATTTGAGGGTCTTTAGTATCTGTTTGAAAATCCCATTCATAGCACATATTACAGAAGAAATCTAAAAGGATTGAAGGAGAACATTAATAGGGATGTTATTCCATAGACTGAAATTCAACTATTCCTCTAGTCCAAATCCTTATCCCAAGTTATCGATACCCCTATCTGGAAGAGAACTTGGGAAGATAGAATTCCCCCTAGGTTGAAATTCTTATGATAGTATTGTATAATAGTGGTATTGCCAACTATTTGGCTCTTCAATCCCAAGGTGTAAATTGCCTTATGCGAAGTCCCGTTTGTTGGTATATGATGCGTTGTATCGAGCTTTAAATTTATTAGTCGAAGCACACTCTAGTCATTCCTAGAAAATCCAGGTATAACTAAGCTAGGAATGTAGTAAAGTGGCTCGATCGTATTCCAAGGGCACCTTAAGCTTATTATTACTTCACTCTGGAGTGCTATCTAATCAAATCAAAAGGATGGGTGAATTCTAATCTAACCTAACTAAAAACAAAACAAACAACCAACCAAGTGTTTGGGAGATTTCTATAGATGAGATGGTTTCCTAGAATTGAATTCCCCTAGCTATAGTTTGGGGTTTTCCAGATCAGATGCATAACTCGCTCAAGTGAAGGTTTCAATGATTACTCTGCCTCCTCCTAGTACGCTCACAGAGACCCATTGTCACCTCAGTCAAAGCTCACGTACTAAGGAATGATCATTAGTTCCTCTTAATGGGTTTAGGCTATCATGCACACCAAAGCGATGGATCGATGATGCTTGCATCATATCTAGCATTGTCTCAGAATGGCATTCCTCTAGTAGGGGTTCGGTCACCTCTTCCGCTAAAAGAAACCCTGAGATGATTAATCTACCTCCAATAAGCCTTAAGGAGCTCACTAGTCTAATCCTAAAACTTCCAGCTAATTCTGTAGAATCAGTTGTAGGCTAGTAGAGAAGAGTTGGGAGATAATCCCAAGCATAATCAAGTATAAATGAAGCATACACAAATCCATAATAAACTATAAACTAGGGTTCATCTTTCCTAAACAACCAATGGGATTCAAGTCATAGAGAGAGAGAGCGAGACAGAGAGAGAAAATACATACTAAAAAGAGGAGGAATGGTGTAAATCATCATCTTTTCCTTGGATTGCATCTTCTTCTTGCTTCTTGGGCGGATTGGATCTTACTCAAAGTTCTCCCAAGGTGTTGCCCAAACCCTAATTTTCTCAGTCTAGGTCGGCTCCCTTGACAAGTGCAGCAGTTCTTCTATTTATAGGTCCTGAAAATCTTGGGCAAGTTCACGGCCAAGAGCTGAAAGATCACGGTCGTGATTTGGCTGTGATGGTACGCAATCTTCAGCTTCATCGAATAGGATTGGAAGGGAGGGGGATTGTTCCCTAAGTTCGCGGCCCCAAACTAGGTCTCAAGGTCGTGATCTATATCATGGCTTCCTTCAACATGGCCTGCAATCCGCCTAGCGCAACTCTCTGTCCATTCATTGACGCTTCCTTCTGAAGTTCTCGCCCATCAGTCCAAAGATTGCGGTTGTGATCTTTTAGCTCTGGCCCGCGATCCTCTGGCTTGATATCAAGGGCAGCTTTCTTGGCTGCGATCTTTGTGTTTGCTCTTTTTCACCCAATTGTCCTACACATTAGTCCTGTTTTCTCCCCTTTTTCGCTTGTAATGTCAAGTTCAACCTAAAACGACACGATACAATAAGGAGAAACAATCTATGCTACAAATGACATTTTGAAGATCAATTCATGCTAAAAAAATGATGACAAAATAACACATTTTTGGGAATAAGCAATTTGCTTGCCTCCGCCCCAATTGTGAACTTTAATATATGGTGGTGACATATTATGCTTATTGAAAACTTCCAAATTCTCTCATGTATTTGTCTACTATGAAGAATATGGAAATCTCGTAATAAGTGGTTTTTTAGTATACTCAACAACATGTTCATTCTCTTTCCCTTCAAATTGATTCCTAGTTGTCAAACTATCCTCTGCCTTTCAGCCCTCCCAAGTTCCCCTTTTTAGTCATGCTCCAAGATTGTCTACTGTTTGGGAAAGCCCGCATCAAAATTACCTAAAGGTTA